GGCTTTGCATTAGCTCAGCTGCACACCTGCAGTTAATACACGGAGCTGTCTTCTGGAGACAGTCTGTTTTATGATGTTGTTTGCATAGTCCTTCCACCAGCTTGCCTGTTTCCTGGCAGTTCCCCCTTCCTTCAACGTCCTAAAAAAAAATCTGGGGAAAAAAATAATACACTAGAACCAAATTAGTTGTTTAACCAATTTCTTCCTTTCTCTCTCTCTCTCCATTTCTTTTTCCAGGACAACTAAGAGACCTGGACCCTCCCGCTTTGACTCAACAATATCTTTCTCCTTCCAACTATTCTTCTTTAGACTTGAAGTGTGCTCTGCTTATAAATCTTCTACAGAAACTGGTGTTTGCTTTTTAAACCTTTAACTCCAAACACCATTCAGCTTTGGAATTTATTAGATTGCATTTATTTTCACTGTATATTCTTATAAGTTATCCTGACCATCTTCCCAGTCCTTCTTCACTCTTTGTTGCTCATGAAATCAATATTCTTTTGTAGCTGTTAAACAGATCCTCATCTCTAAAACAAATAATCTTTTCACTTTCTTACTTCACTCTTAGAGTAGAAGTTGGGTTCAAACCTTGTTTCTTACCAATTTTTTTTTCAATCAGAGCAGAAAAGATGGCCAGAAAGAGACACTGCCACCTCTTTTGAATTAACCCTTTGGTGCTGGCCAAGTCAATAGGATGCTTTCCCTGCACAGTAAGCTGTGATTAGGCAGGAGCCTGACACAGAGGAGCTGTGAAAGCACTGGGAACCCTGGAGCAAAACCCCTCCCTGTCCCAGTGCTCTGAGCCCTGTGCCAAAATCCTGGCTCAGCTGTCAGCTCAACTCCAGCCCTGCCTTCCTCAGGGGCTGTTTTGAGAATTGTAGGCACCTGAACCACTGCTGGGAGAAATTGCGCAATGGCTTCACAGCAGGATGAGTCCCAGAGTGCTCCCTGTGAAATTACATACTTTTAAACTTGAAAAAAATATATTATTTAGAGGTGAATGCTTTTTCTTTTCCCTCTGCAATAGTTAGCGTTGATTTTATTTGCCCTAAAGGAGCAAGGATGCAGGAAAATATTGCCACCCATAAGCACTGTGGAAGGAAACTGCAGCAGGTTTGTTGCAGGATGGAAGCTCTGTTTAGGATCCCTGTTGCCTCCATGGGGATTCTTACCTGTCTATACATCCTGACTGATGGAAAGGGGAACTGCCAGTCCTGACTCAAAACTACACAGCCAAAACCAGAGCTTTTGTCTGCATCTGCATCAGCTGAGAAACACTGAAACACTTCCCTTTGAACATGCACAGAAAAATAACATCAGTGCTCTTACCAACACTGAGATGCTCTAGGTCTGTAAAAAGCTGCATCCCAGAGACATCTGAGTGCCTATCCTGGACTTTGAACCCAATTGTGATTTCTTCTATACTCAACCAAAATGTCTTATTCTCACTCAGGCACCTATTTCTGGCTGTGCAGACATCCAGCAGATTACATCTGCTTTGGGTCCATATTTTGTCTGCTGCTCAATGAAGCCTCACTTGCAATAAAATTGGGTCATTCACCCACTCCAATTCCACAAAGGCTGAATTTGGTTAAAAAACAAACTAGAGATAGGTGCAAGTCTAATGGGAATTCAACTGAGAATCTCCACCTTGGCTAATGCTGGATGGAAACTATATGAAAAGCCACAATAAATAATTTTGATATTGTCAAGCAATGATTGCACTATTTGATAAAGGAGTATTTCCCTTTTTTTAATCTCGAAAGGTAATCAACTACTAACATTACTAAGAGAGATTATAGTATCAAAAAACTTCCATATTGATTTACTTTCAACACAACAAACAAGAAAAAAATTAAACCCTGCAATACTGTTAACAGTGAGTCTGACAAAGCAGAAGTCAAGACAATAACTCACTTTCCCCCATTAGCATGGCTGCAAAGTTAAAACTCCTGCATGGAGATTTTATCAAATTTCTCAGTTTGGTTTGCATATTTAGCTCAGGCACACACTGAATGTGGAGGCTCAGAACGTGGAGGCTCAGAACTGACATTACATGACTGCTTGGAAGTCCAGCACTGCTGCCAAGAGATATTGTGCTCAGGAGCCTGTCTAATACAGAAAAATTCCAACATCCTTTTAGATATTATATACTTCATTGACACCCGGAATTACAACCTAGTTGAAAACAAGTCAGAAACCCCAAGTTGAATGTTCTAAGAATCCCATTTATACATTAAAAAAAATAATCTCTGGGAGGAAGGAAAGAAAATCCCCCTCCCCAGTAACCACAGCAATCACGTCGACAGAAACATGTGCAACGGGCAGGGAACATTTTGAAGGCACAAGCCCATTAGCATTCTGGTCAGGACTGAGTTTATTAGGCATCTCTCCAGCCTGGGTAGCACTATGGAGGCTGTGTGCCTCGGGGGATGTCAGCTTAATGAGGTGCCCTGGCAGTGGAGGGGATGTGCACCTGCTGCTTGGGGCCACGTGATGGGCAGATGTGGGAGCAGCAGAGTCAGAGCTGCCCATTTCCCATCTTCCCAACGCCCACGGGGTGGACAAGGGGTGCACAGTCTGCTTTAGCTCACCTGTGGGCCTGGATGATGAAAGAGGGTTTTTTCTCCTTTCTCCTTTGGTACCCAGTTGCAAGGAAGTTGGCTGGACACAAGCGTGAGCTTTCAGGTCCTGGAATCATGGAATGGCCTGGCTTGGAAGGGACATTAAAGGTCACCCTGTTCCAACCTCTCTGCCACTCATCTGACCAGGCAGCTCAAAGCTCTAGAAGTTATCAGTGTCCACCCTGACCTTGATCACTTCTAGAGATGCGGCATTCACAGCCTCTGTGGCCTCTGCTAGGTTCTCACCACTGTCAAGGTGAGGAATTTCTTCCTAGCATCCACCCTAAAACTTCCCTTTACAGTTTAAAACCATTGCCCCTTGCCTGTCACTGTCTGTTTGTATAAAAAGTCCTTTTCCCCTCTTTTTCTAAGCCCCCTTCAGGCACTGGAAGGTTGCAGTGAGGTCTCCCCAGAGTCTTCACTTCTCCAAGTGGAACAACCCCAGCTGTCTCAGCCTGTTTTTACAGCAGAAGAGCTCCAGCTCTGTGAGCATCTTTGTGGCCTCCTGAGGACCTGGTCCCACAGGTCCATCTCTCTCTTGTGCTGAGGTCTGCAGACCTGGACAGGCAATCCCAGGGATCCCAAAAAAACCTTCACAAGGGACATAGCCATTGTAGTATAGGGTTGCCAGCCATCAGCTGGGTGAAGCCTGGCACCACTTCTAATTTTATCTCAAGAAGTCCCCAGCCTGGGACTGAGGGGAGCTAAAGAAGGAAAGGAAGTGTCAGCTGTAGCCACAAAAAAGCAAAAGCATTTGTTCCAGGAATACCTCCATAAAGACCACAACAACAAATGATGGATGTTCCAGGAGAGAAAGTTCACAGTGTCCTGGAACTATTTATATTCTTTGATACAAAATAAAATCTGGTGGGGGCCTGGCACAGGCTGCCCAGAGAAGCTGTGGATGCCCCATCCCTGGAAGTATTCAAGGCCAGACTGGATGGGACTTTGAGTAGAAACTCTGTGGAAAAGGAGCAAAGACACTCAAGTACTCTCCACTCTAAAGCCACGACCTAAACCCAAGACCATTCACTTTCCCTCTATAGATCCTGATAAAACATTGAGTTATTTGTAGTTCATACAAGCCCTTCAGTTTATTTAGGGGAGGCCTTCATTGTCCTTAGTTTTTCTATGTGTTATTACTCAAGCTCCAGGTAGAATTTTTTTTTTTTTTTTTGGTGGGGGGAGGGATGTGCATTAGCACAGATTTGAAGGAAACATATAGGTGGGGAGCATAATGCTTCCAATTGAAACGCACTAGCAAGCACAGACTACAGTAGTTTAGAGATTAAAAATAGGATCATTTGGATGTGTGGATTTGAATATGATTTATGGATCACTTCCAGAGACATTATTGTCGCTTATCATTCAGATGGCTGTGAAAGTGAAGACTATGTGGGAAATCAAGCAAGAGATACATTGCCTGCAGAATGGGGAAAAACATTAAATCTTGGAGTTGCTGATGCAGCAATTAATATTGCAACCTTCACTGCCTTCAATGCACAGAAGAAAAGGGTAAGTTAGCCTAGATGTCTGCTTCCCATAAATAACTTACCTCAAGACTTAAAGGCAGAGACAGGCTTAAACATTACACACTAAAGGCCCTTTTCCATTTGCCTTGGAGGAAATCTTTAAAACAGGAGCCAGGGGGGAATCAGGAATTTGTACTCAGGGCTCTTGGGCTGCTCCAGCTTACACCTCCAGGTCTAAAAGAATCCAAAAATATCAGGGCAACCACATCTTCAGCAGGGGTGGATGGGAGATGAGGAGGTGTGCTCAGGACACTTGGTGTCTAAAGATCTCAACTAAAGCAGTAATTATAGAAAATTATAGAAGATCACAACTTTGCACAACTGAAATTCAGAGGCAACTCTTTAGACACCAACAATGATATTATTATAGTGATTTGTTTGTTTGTTTGTTTGGGGGTTTT